CTCCTGCTGCTCGTGTCTCCTTTACCGAGCTGCCTACGGGGGCCTCTTCTGTGCGCAATGTGGGGTCAGACGGAGACAGTTCTGCGAGTGAAGGAGACTCTGCTGCTGCTGCTGCTGCTGCTGCTGCTGCTGCTGCTGGTGCAGGAACTCCAGCAGCAGCAGCAGCAGAAAGTGCAGCAGCAACTGCAGCAGCAACCAAACTCTCTCCTGCTGCGTTGAGGGGATCCCGTCGCGCTCAGACCTGTCGTGTTGCACCCAAGACAACAGCAGCAGCAGCAGCAGCAGCAGCAGCAGCAGCAGCAGCAGCAGCAGCAGCAGCAGGAGGTGCAGCAGCAGCAGGAGCAGCAGGAGTTGACGAAGGGGATCTAAGCTCTTCTTCTTCCTCCTCCTCCTCCTCAGCAGCAGCAGCAGCAAGCCCAGCAGCAGCAACAACAACCCCCTCAGCAACAGCAGCAGCAGCAGCAGCAGCAGCAGCAGCAGCAGCAGCAGCAGATGCTCGTCGTCGTCTATACCGTCGCGGTGCAACATTCCCCGAGTTTACAACCCAAGAAAACCTAGCAGCAGAGGAGACACCCTTCTCTGAGGGTTTGCTTCGTGGCAGCAGCAAGAGGGGTACGATGGTTGCTGCTGCTGCTGCTGCTGCAGCAGCAGCAGCAGCAGGGGGCCCAGCTCGATACCTGAGGGCGTCAGACTGTCACAGCTGGTCTTGTATAACCCTTGTATATTTTTTACGTCTTTTGGGGCTGCATGCAGAAGCAGCAGCATTTAAACAAAATAAAATAAGTGGTAACGATATACCTTCTCTAGACTATACAAAATTGGGGTGTATAGGCATCTCCTCTTCCTCTATTCGTCGTTTTCTTTTGAGTGTTTTTCGTTATTTATGGAGCTGTACAGACCAAAGAGACCCATTAAGACCCCACAACAGAAGGAGACAGTTGCTGCTACGAGGAGGAGACAGCTTACCTGTTGTCCCTTCTGCTGCTGTTGCTGTGGGGGCCCCCCTGGGGGGGGGAGGGTACGCTAGGGTACACTTGGCGAGGCTTAGGGCCCCCGGGGGGCCCCCCAGACTTGTTGCTTGTAAGATATTCGAATACAACCCCAGACCCACTGCTGTTGCTGCTGCTCTTACTGCTAAACCACTCAGATCTCCCCCGCAGCACTGCAGCAGCAGCAGCAGCAGCAGCAGCAGCAGCAGCAGCAGTGGTAGTAGGGGGGCGGGGGAAGCGGCGGAGAAAAAGAAAGATATGAATACAGATGGTGGTGGTGGTGGTGTTGAGAATAAAGATAAAGAAAGATACAGCAGCAGCAGCAACAGCAGCAGCAGCAGCAGCAGCAGCAGCAGCAGCAGCAGCAATAGGAGTATGAAGGTGGGATCGATGGGATCGAGTGTGGGGTGGGAGTTGCGTGTATCCCGTCTAAGAAACATCGATTTTTTTCGTTATTGTCCGATGCCAGTGAAGCATAGAGACCTAGAAGCAGAGATACTGAGTGTGTTACAACCCCACCCAAATGTTGTTGGGGTGTATGGTAAATGTTCTATACGGCCCGGTGAGGAGGCCCTCCTTATTGAATACTGCAGCAGGGGTTCTCTCGACTCTCTTATTTTTCCTTCATATATAAACACCACCATCAACACACACACAAA